TGTATGGAACTCAAAGAAGCGCCAGAGCATGTATAAAACTGGCACCACATCAATATTTTAAGAGACATTTCATCTCATAGAGAAACTGGGCCATGGAAACCCTTGGGTCAATCCTTGGCTTAACTGCTAGGGGACGTGGATGGCTACAGATATAATTAGAGACATCTTCAAGGATGTGAATATCTTTGTCGGATATGAGAATGGGACACTATACTGAGTGCAGAGCCCATGCCTCATGCCTTCTTACACCCAAGGAGAAAGCCAGAGTTTCCTATCTCCCTCCCTCCCTCTCTCTTTCTGTCTCTCCTATGCTTGTGGTCCATCTTGGGCTAAAGACCGCTGGCATTATACTAGAGCAGTCATTCCCAATCTTTGGTCCTCCAGGTGTTTTGGACTTCAACTCTCTCAGTTCCTAATGGCTGGTAAGATGGCTGGGATTTCTGGGAGTTAAAATCTAAAACAACTAGAGGACCAAAGAAATGTGCTTTAATGATTTTTAATTGGGAATATTTTAACACTATTTATATTTAAACCTGTTTTAATGTTCGTTTATTTATATATATTTAAATGGCTATACGGATGCTTTTATGTCAAGCCACTTTGAGTCCCCTTTGGGGGAGTTAATGCGGGGTGTAAATACTGTATATACTCGAGTATAAGCCTAGTTTTTCAGCCCTTTTTTTAGGCTGAAAATGTCCCCCTTGGCTTATACTCGAGTCAAAGTTATTTATTATTTTCCTCTGTTATTATTTTTATTACATTTATAATTTTACTCTATTACTAGCTGTCCCCTGCCAGGAGTTGCTGTGGCCCAGTCTGGTGATCTCGAAAATAAAGTAATGATAAAGTGATGGTTTCTAATATATGTATTTTTTATGCTTGTAGGTAAACAGTATTTCTTGTTTTTTTTGTCTGTGTTGATGTAGAGGTTGTCTGGTTTGCCTACTCTGGAACATGGAACATATTATTGTCCTTCTTTAGGGGTCCCTTTCAAATCTATGATACTATATCTCTCTGTGTGTGAATCATACATATCTATATCTATGGCTGGATGGCTCTTTGTCAGGAGGGCTTTGATCAAGTTTTCTTGCCCTGGTAAAAGGAGTTGGACTGGATGGCCTTAAGTATTTTCTGTTGGTCACAGGGGGTTCTGTGTGCCAAGTTTGGTTCAATTCCATCATTGGTGGAGTTCAGAATACTCTTTGATTGTAGGTGAACTCTATATCCCAGTAACTACAACTCCCAAATGTCAAGGTCTATTTTCCCCAAACTCCATCTGTGTTCATATTTGGGAATATGGAATATTAGTGCCAAGTTTGGTCCAGATCCATCATTGTTTGAGTCCACAGTGATCTCTGGATGTAGGTGAACTACAACTCCCAAACTCAAGGTCAATGGCCACCAAACCCTTCCAGGGTTTTCTGTTCGTCATGGGAGTCCTGTGTGCCACATTTGGTTCAATTCCATCATTGGTGAGGTTCAGAATGCTCTTTGATTGTAGGTATACTATAAATCCCAGCAACTACAACTCCCAAATGACAAAATCAATTTTTTGAGTGATGGTCATTCCTTGGGTTAGTAGGTAGTATATTTGGGCAGTCTTATCTTAAATTACAATTTTATGTAAATATTTAATCTACTGATGCCTCAATTAATTGGTACCTATTTTTATTTTGAAATTTACCAGTAGATACTGCATTTCCCATCCTCGGCTTATGCTCAAGTCAATACCTTTTCCCAGTTTTTTGTGATAAAATTAAGTGCCTCGGCTTAAATTCGGGTCGGCTTATACTTGAGTATATATGCTAAATAGAATAATAAGGTTGGCAACCACTGTATGAGAGCAATAAGATAAAACAAGGCCCCAGTCCACATCCTAGATACAGATGGAGTGAAGCTGGAATCATCAACTGTACTGAGACTTCAGAGTATGAAGTCAAATGATACAATTTCTCTGCCCCACATTTCAGTTGCACCAAAAGTGACACAATCCTAATACTACCAAGAACACTGACAGGTCTTAGGGACAAGAATTCCTGCAAGACAGGAGTGGTGATGGAAACCAGAAGGATTTTTGCCATGTATATGTACACTGTAATCCGCCCTGAGTCCCCTGCGGGGTGAGAAGGGCGGGATATAAATACTGTAAGCAAATAAATAATAAATATATGTGTGTTTGTGTGTATATGTCTCTGTGTGTATGGTTTTGTACATGCACTGTAATGTATTTTTTATTTTTTGGCTTTTTTAACTCTCTTCTTCTGTGTTTTTCAGTGTATTTATGTGTGATGGTCACTTGTTGGGCTGAGAGGTGTACAGTGTCCAAGTTTGGTGTCAATTCGTCCAGTGGTTTTTGAGTTATGTTAATCCCACAAATGAACATTACGTTTTTATTTATATAGATGTCGCCTAGTTGAGCATTGGAAAGCTTTTTCTTTCACACAGATGGAACAAAATGCTATTTTGTGAAGCATTTATATAGATGGAAATGCGTCCATCATGTAATTTATGAATGTGAACAATATGATTATTTTACAGAAAACACATGGGTTAAGACAACTGAAAATAATATTTTCATCCACAAACTTGTTCAAAGTTAATCCCTGACAGTCAACCTGGCATGACAAAAATTTCAACTGTCCCTTATTGGTTTTGAATAATAGTGTTTGATAGTGTTTCTACAGGTATATCTTCTGTCTCCTTTCTTTGGTGAACCCTAATGAGAATGAAGAGCTGGAGTAATTGGCTATGGGTGCCTCAGAGAAAATCACTTTAAGTCAAAAAACCGAGGTTCAAATCCCTACAAGCCAAGGACTATCACCATTTATCTCTAAGGCCACTTCCACACAGCTGAATAAAATCCCACATTATCTGTTTTGAACTGGGTTATATGGCAGTGTGGACTCAGAAAACCTAGTTCAAAGCAGATATTGTGGGAGTTTCTGCCTTGATATTCTGAGATACAGAACGGTGTGGAAGGGCCCTTAGATGACGGGGTTATATTGGGGATAAAAACAATCTACTGTGGCCTATCCCAAGCCTACGCAATGAGCCAAGAAAAGAACATAATGAATAATTGATTTCAGCCATCCAGATGGCTGAGACAAAGACTCTGGGTTTCTCCTTCACCTTCTCTCTGGGACATTCTGCAATATATTATGAAATAATATTCAAGAGGGCACAGACAGATAATTTGTTGTGATGACAAGGACACGGAGAAGGAAGGGATATGCTAAACTTTCCATTTTTTAGATGAGACATAGCAGATAACTACAGTCCAAACCAGAGAGTAAACATTAAAAAATAATGGAGACCAATCTCCTCAATTAAAATGCCTCTACATTACTTAAAGTGATCATGACAGCATTTTTATAAGATGTATGACAGTAAGGCCCCTTGGTGTCGCAGCAGGTTAAACCACTGAACTTGCTGACTGAAAGGTTAGCAGTTTGAATCCGGGCAGCAGGGTGAGCTCCTGCTGTTAGCCTTAGCTTCTGCCAACCTAAAATTTCAAAAACCTGCAAATGTGAGTAGAGCAATAGGTACTGCTTCTGCTGGAAGGTAACAGTCATGCTGTCCACATGAGCTAGTATGTGTCTACAGACAACACCGACTCTTCAGCTTAGAAATTGAGATGATCACCACCCCCCTGAGTCAGACACGACTAGACTTAAATGTCAGGGGAAATCTTTACCTTTACTACGACAGTTAGAAATGTTACAGTTTGGCTATGATTATCTTACCAATTAATACTATGCAACAAAATATATTTAAAAATTCTTTTCCTGGTTTGGAAATGTTGTTTCCTGCTTAATTGTGCAGCACTTACTTTGAAAGTAGTTGTAATGCTCCAGAAACTTTGTTTTTGTAGCTGCCACAAACTATGCTGAATTGGTTGAGAACCTATGAGATATTCATTGAAAAACTATAGCAAAATGTGCTGCAGGTGTCCCATGTTTTTATGACAGAACCAATTAGATGTTAAGGATTAATGGCATAATTCAATATGACTGTGAGCCTATCTCAATCAGATTTAATGAAATCTAAGCCCTTCCATTTAATGAAATCTAAGAACTTCCATGAGATTTTGTAGGGCTCTTCCATACAGCCATATAACCCAGAATATCAAGGCAGAAATCCCATAATATCTGCTTTGAACTGGGTTATCTGAGTCCACACTGCCATATATTCCAGTTCAAAACCAATATGGGATTTCATTCAGCTGTGTGGAAGGGGCCCCAGTCAAAAAGGGTCTTACAGTCCTAATGAGACAGATATTTTTTAATCTTTATCTTGGCAGAGAGGGTTAAACCCCTGTGCCGGCAGGACTGAAGACCGACAGATCATAGGTTCGAATCTGGGGAGAGCGCGGATAAGCTCCCTATATCAGCTCCAGCTCCTCATGCAGGAACATGAGAGAAGCCTCCCACAAGGATGGTAAAACATCAAAAAAAAAAACAAAAAACATCCACACATCCCCCGGGCAACGTCCTTGCAGATGGCCAATTCTCTCACACCAGAAGCAACTTGCAGTTTCTCAAGTCACTCCTGACGCGACAAAAAAGTAAATAAATCTGGGCACACATCTCAAAAGTGAACTTTTGGTCTCTTTCATATTTGGTCTTATCCTGGAGGCCAACTAACTCTGTGAAAGTACTGGGATCAACATGTTCGAACCTGCTGACCCTGATGATCGGATGTTATTCTTTTTTCAAAGTCTGCCTTATTTGCTGAAGCTGTAAGATTGATCCAAGAGAGAGGTTAAAGAGCACAGAGGATTGCACAATGCTATGGACACTAAACAAGAGGCCCCATGTTTGCGCATTTCTGTCTACAACTTGAGAAACTGCAGATCCTTCACCCTTCAGCACTAGCACATGCTCTCAGCATTTCTGATAAATATATATGAAGATGATCCAGCTGTTCCCAGTGTTATTCTTGCCATAGTTCTGGATTCAATCATGAACATCCCTGGAACTGGAAGTGTTTTGCGCACCTACCTCAACAGCACAGGACTCGTCACATTGGCTGGGATCTTCCCCAGCCAGTGGACCAATGTGGGAACGCGGTGTCCCCCTTCCCAAGTAGTTTGCTTAGCAGAGCTCCCATCTGCGAAAATGTAAACAGAGAAATTACATTTGGAGAGGCACATCTGCCAGAACTTTTTCCTTTCAGCCACAACACTTTCCCCCCAAAAAAACCCTCAAAACGCAAGAGCCAAGACTGCAAAAAAGAATCATTTGGAACCAGCAAGTTACATCCTCTTTTTAAAAAGGACAAAGAGTTCACTAGGGGATGTGAAGATACATTAGATCAACATACGCAAACAGTATACAAAGAGAGAGAAATAGCACAGCAAATCTAGAAATGTCATCGATTCCCTCTTTTACATTTTTTCAAGGCTGACAACAACACAAGACAAGGCTATGCACTGTTTAATATGGGGTATTTTTAGCTTGTCTGATATGCGGGGACTTTCTGAAGATTGCAAATCATTACAAAGAACTGGCATGGCACAACATATAGCTAATAATCTTAGGTCTGGGTTCAATTCCTCATGAGCTGTATGAACTGGATGGACCACACTTGGAATATTGTGTCCAATTCTGGGCACCACAACTGAAGGGAGATCTTGACAAGCTGGAATGTGTCCTGAGGAGAGCGACTAAAATGATAAAGGATCTGGAGAACAAGCCCTATGAGGTGTGGCTTAAAGAGCTGGGCATGTTTAGCCTGCAAAAGAGAAGGCTGAGAGGAGACATGATGAAGGCCATGCATAAACATGTGAAGGGAAGTCATAGGGAGGAGGGAGCAAGCTTGTTTTCTGCTGCCCTGGAGACTCGGACACGGAACAATGGCTTCAAACTACAAGAAAGGAGATTCCTGGGTTGTTGTAGGTTTTTGCGGGCTATATGGCCATGTTCTAGAGGCATTCTCTCCTGACGTTTCACCTGCATCTATGACAAGCATCTTCAGACCTCACAACCTCTGAGGAATGCTTGCCATAGATGCAGGTGAAACGTCAGGTCTGACCTCACAATCTCTGAGGATGCTTGCCATAGATGCAGGCGAAACGTCAGAAGAGAATGCATCTAGAACATGGCCATACAGCCCAAAAAAACCTACAACAACCCAGTGATTCCGGCCATGAAAGCCTTCGACAATAAAAAGGAGATTCCATCTGAACATTAGGAAGAACTTCCTGACTGCGAGAACTGTTCAGCAGTGGAACTCTCTTCCCGGAGTGTGCTGGAGGCGCCTTCTTTGGGGGCTTTTAAACAGAGGCTGGATGGCCATCTGTCGGGGGTGCTTTGAATGCAATTTTCCTGCTTCTTGGCAGGGGGTTGGGGACTGGATAGCCAAGGAGGCCTCTTCCAACTCTATGATTCTATAACTGAGAGGTCTATTTTCCTGTTTGTAAAAGACGTTTCTTCGGGGCAGATGGGAAGGCACCAAATGCAAAATACTCTGTTATGTTTGATCTTGTCCACAGAATCGATATTTTATGGGATGGGAGGCTTCTTAGCAAGCAGGCGCAGCTCAAAACACATTGCATCTGGAAGCTCTCTCTGTAGGAGGTTGCGGTGGAAGAAAATACTGGGGAGAAGGACTTTGTTGGCTCTTCCATGGCTTGACAGAAAGGATGTAGTAATTGTTACTACTGTAGATCAATTAGTGGAAAATTGATGAAACAAATGTGTGTTTCAGGAGAGCAGGTTCCTTATACAGGTGGTAACAGAGAAAACTAATTCATGAAGCAGGCGATACTAGAATTCCTTAATAACCATGAAAAGGCTCACTGATTTTAACAAAAAGGTTTGAGGTGAACGCCATGGTCTTCCAATGTGTCTGCATAAAGAGTTAATATTTAGACAGCTCTTTTCACAACTGGAGCATCTACGATTTTCTTCCTTTCGTCTTTCTAACGTCGCATGAGCAGGACATGAGGCAGGCAGGAAATGTCTCTTCATTGATTTCAAGCCGCTTTAGTTCTGCTTACCCTGCTGAGCCTCAGGGCCCAAGAGGAGATGGGTGGGTGTGCCTGTGTTTTTGTTTGTACTACAAGATTTGAAAATGTTCAGCACATGGAGATAATATACCCAAAACCGTGGAAACATTTATATAAGCATACACCTGGCAGTGATGCCTTGTTTAAAAATAATCCCTCCTGCTGACACTGCTTGTGAATATCTCTTACAGTGTTTGTTGACATTGGAGAAATAGGCAGCTGCAGGTCTTAAAAAAGTTACCTTTGAGGACCAAAACTCTCAGAAGCCCCCATCAATGTTTGGAGCAACTACATACCCAGCAATCCCGGCCTTGTCTGCGATATGCAAGTTAATAATCAAGGAAAGAAGATGGGTTGGGACTTGAGCAGGTGTACACCACTGATTATTAGTCAATCTTGTGGCACGTTGTCCGAATGCCCAATCACCGTCTCCCAAAGCAGGAAAAGAGATTTAAAGATAGGCTTAAAGCTAACCTTAAAAACTGTGGCATAGACACTGAGAACTGAGTGTCTGCGCCCTACACCACTGGAGAAATTACACTGCTTAGCCGATATTGCACCACCTGACATCCGTCAGGAAGTAGCAGCCAATAGTAAAAGGACCAAGGCAGTGACATCTCCAGCCCATCCCGTTTGGGTATCAGCCAGCACGTCAATGACTTAAATCAAGAAATAGCTTTCTAAGATCTACAGAGACACTCGCTGGAACACCTCAGCAAGCGTGAGTCCAAAAGTGGCAGGCTCAAACCCAGAACCTCAATCAATGGCTGATACCAAATGAGAGACTCCCCCCTGGGCACACAGAAGACTGGGCGACTTGGAAAATGGATGTGCCATCAAATGTAATGCTGTGATGCAAGCATAACCAGGCAGGGAGCCAGGTAGCATGAATAAGGTCATTTGGAAAGTCACACCACTGCATCAGGCCGAGGCTGGCATAGTCTCATGCAGTCCCCTACTGGCTCCATTCACAAGTCCTTCAAAACTGGGGGGGGGGGGGGTTGAAGGCCTACTGAATGAGGCCAGTTGAGACTAGCACAGAACTGAGCTTTTTTGCGGGATGTGGGGGGGGGGGGACACCCAGAGTGCTTCTTGGGAATGCATGGCCTGATCCAGAAGAAAGTGGTGAGAACAATGCTTCCTGCTCCTCTGGCCAGAGAAGCCACTGCTGGGAACATTCCCTCTGGGTCTTTTCACACAGGTTATATACGTAGAATCATAGAATCATAGAATCAAAGAGTTGGAAGGGACCTCATGGGCCATCCAGTCCAACCCCCTGCCAAGAAGCAGGAATATTGCATTCAAATCACACCTGACAGATGGCCATCCAGCCTCTGCTTAAAAGCTTCCAAAGAAGGAGCCTCCACCACACTCCGGGGCAGAGAGTTCCACTGCTGAACGGTTCTCACAGTCAGGAAGTTCTTCCTCATGTTCAGATGGAATCTCCTCTCTTGTAGTTTGAAGCCATTGTTCCGCGTCCTAGTCTCCAGGGAAGCAGAAAACAAGCTTGCTCCCTCCTCCCTGTGGCTTCCTCTCACATATTTATACATGGCTATCATATCTCCTCTCAGCCTTCTCTTCTTCAGGCTAAACATGCCCAGTTCCCTAAGCCGCTCCTCATAGGGCTTGTTCTCCAGACCCTTGATCATTTTAGTCGCCCTCCTCTGGACACATTCCAGCTTGTCAATATCTCTCTTGAATTGTGGTGGCCAGAATTGGACACAATATTCCAGATGTGGTCTAACCAAAGCAGAATAGAGGGGTAGCATTACTTCCTTAGATCTAGACACTATGCTCCTATTGATGCAGGCCAAAATCCCATTGGCTTTTTTTGTTCGCCACATCACATTGTTGGCTCATGTTTAACTTGTTGTCCACGAGGACTCCAAGATCTTTTTCACACGTACTGCTCTCGAGCCAGGCATTGTCCCCCATTCTGTATCTTTGCATTTCATTTTTTCTGCCAAAGTGGAGTATCTTGCATTTGTCACTGTTGAACTTCATTTTGTTAGTTTTGGCCCATCTCTCTAATCTGTCAAGATCGTTTTGAATTCTGCTCCTGTCCTCTGGAGTATTGGCTATCCCTCCCAATTTGGTGTCGTCTGCAAACTTGATGATCATGCCTTCTAGCCCTTCATCTAAGTCATTAATAAGATGTTGAACAGGACCGGGCCCAGGACGGAACCCTGCGGCACTCCACTTGTCACTTCTTTCCAAGATGAAGAGGAAGCATTAGTGAGCACTCTCTGTGTTCGTCCACTTAACCAATTACAGATCCACCTCACCGTAGTTTTGCCTAGCCCACATTGGACTAGTTTCCTTGCCAGAAGGTCATGGGGGACCTTGTCGAAGGCCTTACTGAAGTCCAGGTACGCTACATCCACGGCATTCCCCGCATCTACCCAGCTTGTAGCTCTATCGAAGAAAGAGATCAGATTAGTCTGGCATGACTTGTTTTTGCTAAATCCATGTTGACTATTAGCGATGACTGCATTTGTTTCTAAGTGTTTGCAGACCGCTTCCTTAACAATCTTTTCCAGAATCTTGCCCGGTATCGACGTGAGGCTGACCGGACGGTAGTTGTTTGGGTCATCCTTTTTTCCCTTCTTGAAGATTGGGACCACATTGGCCCTCCTCCAATCTGCTGGAACTTCTCCCGTTCTCCAAGAACTCTCAAAGATGGTTGCCAATGGTTCCGAAATAACTTCCGCTAGTTCCTTCAATACTCTGGGGTGTAGTTGATCTGGCCCTGGGGACTTGAACTCATTAAGAGCGGCCAGGTATTCCTGGACGACTTCTTTCCCAATTTGGGGTTGGATGTCCTCCAATCCCTCATCCACTCCATCTTGCTGAGGTTGAAGACTCTCTTTTTGTGGGAAGACCGAGGCAAAGAAGGCATTAAGTAGTTCTGCCTTTTCCCTATCCCCTGTCAGCATTGCCCCATCTTCTCCTCGAAGAGGTCCTATCGCCTCCTTGTTTTTCCTTTTTCTACTGACATAAGAATAGAAGCCCTTTTTATTGTTTTTAATGTCCCTGGCAAGTCTGAGCTCGTTTTTTTGCTTTAGCCTTGCGGACCTTTTCCCTACAGGTGTTGGCTATT